TAAGTGGCAACCATGATTTACCAAAAAGCAATGCCACAAATTGTGAACTCTCTATCCACAATGGCCGCATCTAAGAGTTACCCTTCTGTCTGAAAAAATTGAAGGGATGGTTTTGTGGTTTAGATGATAATGTTGTTGTGTTGAGTTCAACAATTTCATCTCTAAGATGGATTTGTTGAATCTCCTTTTAGATAGGAGCTTTATTTGGTTTGGTACGGCAGCTTGTCATTTGGATATTGTAAGTTAAGATTGCACCTAGAAAATAAGATGTGATACAACAATTTTGAATTTTTACAAGTATGTGATACGAAGATTACAATATCAATCTAAGGTTAATCCTCTCCTTTGAACAAGAAAATTATCAATGATACACAAGTGTTCAATGTTATATGAAATGAAATTTAGAATGTTTTTTTCTATGAAGGTTAAGTGCAGAAAGTTTCACTTTAAAAGTTTGGTTTTGAACACTTAGAGAAATTCTTGAAACATGAAGAGAGATTTTGATTATATGAAATTTGCAAGACAATGTGAGTTTAATTCTGAAAATAAGTGAGTTTATATAGATACAATACACCTTTACAAATGAATGCAATCAATGAAATGATGTCATGCTTCAAAAATCTCATTTGAAAACCATTATGTTGTAGAAAAAAAGTATTTTTAGATACTTGTTCAATGTTAATCGATTAACACATTTGCACTAGAAAATGGTTAATCGGTTAACCCCTTGCAGCGAACAAAAACTTCAAAAATTTCAAGTGTTAATCGATTAACACATTTGCACTAGCAAATGGTTAATCGGTTAGCCAGTGTTAAAAACTGAAAAATACTTTTGTAAAAGATTTAGAATGAAATTGTTTTCTAAAGCAAATGTTTTAACAAAATATAACATGTAAGATTGATGTTTTGAACATTTGTATATGCAAAGATAAGTTTAGCTCATATACCTAAATTCATGATCAATCTCTTAAAAACTTCAAGACATTGTTTGATATACTTGAAACTTGATACTTGTCTTGAGCCAATCCTTTTTGTCATTATCAATTGGTTGTATAATATTGTTGTCTTTATCAAAATACATTTGAGAAACTTGATTCTTCATTCTCCCCTTTTTTTATGATGCCAACCTTTTTCTTGAAAATTTGATTCAACCTTGTTTTCTCTAACATGGCAATACTCGCCTTGATGTAAGATCCCCTTTAATCAAAGCTTGAGAGTTTTAAAGACATTCAACTTGCTGCAAGTTAATGTTAGAGAAACAAACAACAATACTTAATATCTTCTCCCCCTTTGTCATTACCTAAAAGGAAGGGAAAAGACTTTTAAAAATGGAAAAACATAATATGTATAAATTATAAGAGGCATAAGTAAAGCATAACATAGTTGAGACATTTTCACATACCAAATTAACAAAACATAACACAACATAGTTTTGACAAAACATAACATAGTCATTAGAACGAAACAATAAACTAAAATGTAACATGATTTGACATAACATAATCCTTAAAGAAAAAGTTCATAAAAACTTAACAAAAAGCAATAACATGATAATACTACAATCATAAAACTAGTCACTCTCCGACATATTGGTGTCTTCCTCTTCCTCTTCTCCTTCACTTTCCTTCACTCTTGGTTTACGGTGATGGGTTTTGGTGAGCTTAAGCAACATAGGTGTCATACCCTAAATTTTACCCTTAGATTAGTCGGTTCATTTCACATTTCATCTCATTCTGCATTGCATTGTAAACTAATCGCTAACCAGTTTGCTCAGTCTGTTGGTTTTGCAGGAAAAATCACACTGTGTGCGATTTAATTGGTGAAGGGAAAAAGCGTCATTAATTTTCAGTCTGCTGACAATTTAGGAAGCAAAGTCGTCAGTAGGAACCCCTCGAACGATTAGGGTTTCCATCTCCGAGTCATGTGACCTTATCTGAGGATGAGATGAATTTTACGGCCGTTTTGACGTCAGATTTCTCGTGACACAGTATATTTTATTCAAGAGTCGAGATTCAGTCGTCAGTTGGATTTCAGAAATGTTGTTTGATTCATAAACCATATGGAGCTGAATGTGCTGAGATATCAGTGGATTCGGGTTAAATCGGTGCGAGAATTTGCTTTGTGTAATTTGTTCTGACAAACACGTGTTTTCCTGCTTCCCCGCTAGTTACCAGGAGATTTTAAAGGAACAATGGAATTTCAGTTTGCGTTGAATCTACAATGAATATCTGTGGGTTTGATCATGATTATCAGATGAGCTGATTCAGGTTACAAAGTTGAATTATTCGAGATACAATTTGAATTTTAAATGTGGAGGACAATTCGTTTCGCCGTTTAATTTGATTTCTCTGGTTACCTGTTCAGGACCGTATTCACCGATTTTATTATCGAGGACGAATTAATTTGCAAAGGGATTTGTTTGAATTCAGGAATTACGTCGGGTGAAATTTAATTCTAAGTGGCGCGAGATGTTTAATTGTCGAATTCGAAGGTTGGAACGTCCAGGTTCATTTGGATGAATTTAATCAGATGGATTTAGTGGGGTGAATTTAATTAGATGATTTTATCTGAATGAATTTATTTGGGTAAACTTAATCAGAGGAATTTATTTGGAGGAATTTAATCAGACGAGGTTATTCAGATAATTTTAATTGGAGGAATTTAATTAGATGATTTTGATCTGTTAAACTTAATCGAGTGAATTTAGTTGCTTGATTTTAATCGGGTGAAGTTACGCGGAGAAAGTTGATCAGAAATTAAATTTGGTTTATTAAGAAAAATGGAATTTATTTATTTAAATTCTATATTTTTTTATTACAATATACAAAGCGGATTACAATTACAAATCCATTTCTAATTAGTTCCTAAAATCCTAATTGTCTTCACGCCGATCTTCAATCTTCGACTTCTTTTCAGACCTGCAAAAATCGACAACAGAGAAAAACAATTGTTACATGGTTAGAATAAATTAAAAGTAGTTTGTTTGTCACTTCGATACTCTCAGTTAAAATTCATCATCGGGTACGTCGGGAGGATAACAACGACGAGGTCGCCGCCAGCTCCCGACTTTTTATTTTCCGACCCCGAACGGACCCGACAATTTCAGTTCCAATTTATTCCAGGAGAGAAAAAATGCTTATTTGGAAAAGTGCTTTTGAAAAAAAGTGTTTATTCGGAAAAATTGATTTTTTTTTTGCGTCCATACCAAAAAAGACCAAAAAGATCCATCCAAAATCCAAAGAACCAAATGGATATCCAGATCCAATACAGCCAGCAACGACATCCGGAAGCCCACAACGACCAAAACGAAACCAAACAAGTCACAAACAACTTTCCCAAAGATTCTTGCAACAAATTATATCCAACAAACTTCATGAAACGAAGCATCCTGGGAAAATGCAGCAAGTTCCTCAACTTTCCCATGGAAGACGCAACAAATCCTGGGAATAAGCCTCCAAAATTGCAACAATTGCATCACCAATATCGCAACCAAACAACAAATCCAGGCCCACAACTGCAAGAAGAATAATAATATAAGAACGTAAAATAGAGTTCATCAGAAGGAAAAACAATCATCAGCAAGCATCAGAGAAAAGAGAAGGATTCTGAAAACCCTAAGTCCATCAGTGAATCAAGCCGCGGCGCAGACCACAACTGCCAAACCGAAACCGACCAAGCCTCAGTCACGAACATCATCGGCCATCATCATCATCAATCATCCGTCAACAAAATCAAACCGCAACCCAACTAAACCGTTCATAACACGCGGCGAACCATAACATCATCATCAGAAAATCACTCAAAGACCCATAGACTCAAACGAGAGGATTTCATCTACGTCATCATCGTCACCATCGCCACCTCAAGTCATCAGAGAAATCACTTCAAACCCCTAACAAAAAAAGGTGAGTAATTTCTTCCATTAATAGAAGGTTTGTTTTTTCATACGGCATGGAAGGAGAAAGAGAGACGAATAAGCCAAGAAAGAAGAAAAATTTCAAAAAGCTCAGCCATGGAGTATGCGCCGCATGCAAGGAAGAAGATGATGGGAGAAACCTCAAATGGGTCTGCGCCGCGAAGAAGAAGAGGAGATGGGGTTCATAAACCCTAACAACTCAGCACAACCACACATCCCCCTTCCCTTTATATTTTCCTTTTTGTTTTTCTTTTTTTAGATTTTTTTTAGTTTATTTTATTTATTAAAATTCTGCAAGTAAATTTAGTTTTTATAATTAAAACTTATAATTAAACTTATAGCTAAAACTTAATCAAACCCATTTTTTAAACTAAAACCTAACATAAATAAAATTAATTTTAAAATTAAAACTCTTTTGTAAATTAACACTAAAACCTCAAAAAAAGGGATTACCATTTTAATTTCACAATTTTTTCTTAAAACAGGTTTAACCAAATTGTCTAACATTTCATTTTCAGTTTCGAATTGAACTGTCGCATAATGGCGGATTTGATCCCTTGTCCAGTTTATTTCGTCTAATTTCTATGCCGCTCCTAACACTGTTTTTCAGTTGTACAGTTTATTAAAATACTTATATGCCGCTCCTAACATTTCATTTTCAGTTTCGAATTGAACTGTCGCATAATGGCGGATTTCTATGCCGCTCCTAACCTTTCATTTTCAGTTTCGAATTGAACTGTCGCATAATTGCGGATTTGGATATTAAAATACTTATCCTTGCATCTATATATATTTATTTTAATGGATATTTATCGGTACCTATTCTAAATTTACATTGCAAGTTTTATTCTATCGGTTGTGAGTATTTTTATTTTTGAAGATAACGTGTAGATATGTACCTAATTGCCACCCCTAGCCACAACTGAATAAACACTCACAAATAAGAGCAGTAGACAAAGATTGTTCAAAGAAAAAAACGGTTTAGTTAATGAAATTGTCACAGTTACGAATTATAAAAACACAACTTTGGAACGGTTTCATCAAAACATACCCAGTAACCGAAACCTTTGTGTCACTCAGAAAAATGAATGAAAACTCAATTTTGCAGACAAAACTCAAAGACCTAGAATCAACGTTGGACGATGCAATACTAAGTGGCCACGAAAAACATTCACATGCAGACATTGAACAGAAATTTACATTCATAGAAAACCTTGCATCTGCTGAAGCTAAATCTGATCCAACACAACGTATGCATCACTTTACACAAAAGTTGGAATCATTGAAGAAATCTTTCAATGAAAGAGACAGCACTTTCACGACATATACAAATCCAGAATTTGACAAGGATTCTATCTCCAATTCTAATTCTTCTTGTTCTTGTACTGAGTTTTGTTTGAAAGATGAAGAACTTGATGAGAGCAACTTGATTGTTATCGATGGCCCGGATAAGCTTTTTCCTGATTTTGTTGGTGAGAAGGGTGTTGTGGGATATAGAGAAAACGGGGTGGAAGAAATTGGTGAAAAGATTGATGTTGGAAGTGGAAAAATTGCAAAAAAATTTAGTCACGATGCTGAGGAATTTTTTGAAGATTTTGATAAAGAAAAGGAATGTGATTGTGGTTTAAAAGATGAGGAAAAGAAGGAATTTGAGAAGGTGAAAAGTGGGTTTGGTAAGAATTGTTGTGTGTTGGTTAGTGGAGTTTTTATTGGTATGAGTTTGATGGGTTTCATTATGGTGAGTCTTTCTGGCTGCTTTGATGAATATGTGGAACAAACAAGTTTTGCAATTCCAACATAGATATATAGGTAATGGTATACTTTGCATTCCAATTTTTGTGGTGAATCTTTTTGTTTAGTTTGATTTACTTCAAGAATACTTTAACTTATTATAGTTAGATGTTATGATATGATTTGTAATTTGGATTTAGATTAAATTATTATTATGAATTATGTATAATCAATCCAATCACCATGGCTTGATTGATTGATGATTTTTTCAAAAATCGTATGCATGGATGTTTTTAGGTACAAATTTCCAATCTTAAAATATGTGTAGTTGCGAGTACAAAACTAAATAGTCTTTAACTATTTTAGGAATTTTTTAGAAACAAATGAAATATTCAATGTAACATTTTTTCACCACGAGTATTTTAATTAATTGCATTGACTAATTTGGTTCAAATGTTAGTTCTGATATCAAGTGATTTTAGTCATCTCTTGATCGCAGTTGTTAAAAATTGAGTCGTAATCCTTCTTAACAAACCCAACGCCAATAACCACTAAACCAACTAACAATGGGTGCAATGTCAACCTTTTCGTAAAAAAGAGAACAAATATTATTAATTGTTTTTGGTTTTCTAAGAAGAAGAAAAATTATGTGTTTAAAGAAGAATGGAGAAGCATATTTTAAAGTTTTTTCTTTATGAGATGGAGGGCCAAAGCCCAAAGAAACAGAACTATACAAACACAAGCCCAGGGGTGGCCACACCCAGCAAAACCTATCTAAGTGGGGAGCTACAAAGGAAGGGCAACAGTGGAAGATACAAATCTCTTGAGAAAGAGAAAAACTCTTTCTAGCAAGCGCATCAACACAGAGGTATGCTTCTCTAAAAACATGCATAATTCTGATATCCTTGAAGTGATCAAGGTAGTGTCTTATCTTGGAAATAAACTTTCTGCCCTAGATCTTGATTGAATTATTTGTAAAAATATCTTGCACTACTAGTCGCACATCCAAGTTAACATCAATAGGCGTCAATCACATCTCAATAGCAAGCTTCAAACCCTCATATACTCCCTAAAGTTCAGCAATATAACTATCGCAAACTCCAACGTGTTTTATAAAATCATTGAGCTATTCACACTCACTTCCTCGGATGCCGCCCCCACAACTAGCATTATCAAACTTATCTCTCACTCCATCAATATTAAGCTTCACTCTTCCCATTGAAGGTGTCTCCCATTTGAGAAATTCCAACTCCCTGTGATGATCCCTATTTGAACTAGAAACTGCTTCCGCCGTTCTATAATCATGCATAATCATTTTAACATGAGCCACCATATTCGTCGATCCAGAATAATTATCATCATGAATTTTGTTGTTGTGCCACATCTAAAGATTGTGGCAAGCATGGGCCCATAAACCATTCCACTGGTTCCCATCCTGTCAACCCATATTTTCATGTAAATTACTATGTATCCAATGTTTTAGATCACCTATAAAAAAGGAAATTCTTTTGTTAGTGTGAACCTCCGTCAACCAAATTGCCAAAGTACGCGGGAAATCTCTCAGATGCAAAGCATCTTCCTCCACATCTCCACATAAGTTGCACATTACACTACCAACACCAAATCTAGCCTTCTTAATATTTGTAAGGAACTCATCATGCATTATTAGCCAAATAAAAGCTCTCTGCGTTGGGGAGCTTGGAGCCTCCAAATAACATGCCAATCTTCTATGTCTCTATGCACAGGCTGATCATCAAGCAAAGAGTACATCTCTTGCACAGAAAAACCATTACCATACTCTCCAATGCCTACAATCTCATCAGGCCCAACATCAATGGTGGGAGGGACAATGCTCGCAATACGCAACCTAACATCTTTATGCAGCCATGGGTTGAGAGCTTCCCAATTCCAGTTGCCATCCTCCAAAACTAAATCACAAACTCGCATAGCCTGAAGATGATCCGGAATAAAACGTTCAAGTCTGCAATCTTAAGGTCATACGCTAACTAATTATCATTCCACGCATCAATATGCATGTGATTTCCAACATACCACATGCAGCATATTTTTATAGTTGCATAGTCCTTTAATGTAGTTTGGACCATATATGGGACAATTTCCAATTTATGTCAATTCGAACCTTTAAATAAAGTAATCGACATGATATTCATTGACCAATATCATACTCAATCAAAATTATTTATCTATCTTATGTCATAATAATACTAGAAATTCTATTGGTATATGTCAAGTTCGCTGGATTTTTAAGCCTTTGCCTCATCACACTATTCCTCTCATTGGTAAAAAAAATAGAATCTTCAGTACTTCCCACACTTTTCCTCTCGTATTTTGATTTATTTAATATTATTATTAATATATATTTCATTTAAATAAAAGTATTGCAGACTATTTATTAAAATTTTCTATTAAATGTAAAAAAATAATTTAATAAATTTATTTTATATTTTATAAAAAGTTTAAAAATTAATTGTACTTAAGGCTATTTCTTAATCACCCTAAAATTGTTTATTTTTTATTTTGTAAGGAAAATATATTAAAAAGAGTATTAGGGATATTTCGTCCCATATACTAAGGCAGAATCGAAATTGAACTACAAATGGCAACCATGATTTACCAAAAAGCAATGTCACACATTGTTAACTCTCTATCCACAATGGCCAGAGCATCTAAGAGTTACCTTCTATCTGAAAAATTGAAGGGATGGTTTTGTGTGTTTAGATGATAATGTTGTTGTGTAGAGTTCAACAATTTCATCTCTAAGATGGATTTGTTGAATCTCCTTTTAGATAGGAGCTTTACTTGGTATTAACCATTTAGTGGGGCAGCTTGTCATATGGATATGATCCTCGTGTTGGATAGTTGGTGGAATTTGTGGGGTTCAACGGCTCAATGGGTTCCGCCTGGATATGTGTCTGATCATTGTTCTATCATTCTCAAATACTCTAACCAATAGTGGGGTCCCAAGTCATTTTTTTTTCAATACCATTGGCTTTCTTACCCCGACTCCTTGAGGTGGTTTTCAGTAGTTGGTCTAGTTTCCATTTTGTTTTTTTGGAAGCTTTTGTACTTAAAGAGAAACTTAATGTTCTCAAAGGTGTCTTGAAATATTTGAACCATCAAGTTTTTTGTACGCTTAATCCCTATATTGCTTCCTTGAGTGAGAAGGTGAACTCTTTGGATGCGAGAGTTGAGCAAGGTGGTTTTTTAGAAGGGGAGATTGACTATAGGAAGAAGGCAATTTTGGACCTCTGGTCCCTACTTCATATTAAATATGTCTATTTTCTTTAAATATCAAGAGTTAAGTGGCTTAAAGAGGTGTATTGTAATACTAGTATATTCCATGCCTGCATTAAGAGCATAATTAGAAGGAATGCATTTTTAGCTCCTAATGTAGAAGACTCTTAGGTTGAAGGGGTTTTCGAGATTCATCAAGAGGTGGTTAATTTTTTTTCCAGCCATTTTAGAAAACCTCTCTTAGACTAACCTAGATTGATGATTCCATTCTCCCTTCTGTATCTGGGAAGAATGCTCTGATTTGACTGCTCATTTCTTCCTATATGAGATTGGTCGAGTGGTTGACTTGTGTGATGGGAATAAGAGTTCGGACCTATGTGGTACAATTTCTCCTTTGTTAGGAGGTTGTTGTTCCTTCATAGGGATGATTTTTGGATCATGTTTGAGTAGCTTCATTTGTTTGGTCCTTTTTCTCATGGTTTTTCTCCTATTTTGTAACCTTGATTCCTATGGTTGATTCTCCTCTCAAATGGGGCTTTTAGACCTATCTCTTTTGTTAGGTCCCTTTATAAGCTCTTGGCTAATTTTCTGGAAAACATACTTTCTGTTCTTATGGAGAAGCTTATCTCTCATAACCAGTAAGCTTTTCTAAAAGGTAAGCTTTTAGTTGAAGAGGTGGTTGTTGTGAATGAGTTGGTGTATCTTACTAAGAAAGTAAAAAACAATGTCTCATCTTTAAAGTGAGTCTTAAGAAAGCGTGTGACTTTGTGTGTTAGTCTTTGATGGATCACATTCTATCTGGATTTGGTTTTAATGACAAGTGGAGAGGTTGGATTTCCGCTTCTATTTTTTCTGGTAACCTTGTTGTCTTGGTTAATGGTGTTGGACATGTGACTCCACATATTAGAGGGGCAGGTGTGAATTTTGGGGGTTCGAAAAACATTGATTTAAAACAAAAAAAATTTCTAAATCATAGCTCAAAAACATTTTTCTAAAAAATAGTTGGATATGCAGCGAAAAAATCAAGGTAAAGAAAATATGCATAAAGTATAAAATTTAAGGGAAAAGAGATAACACTAGAAATTTATAGAGGTTCGATACTAAAGAAGTAACTTACTCCTCTCCTAAAGAACTTGTCTTAAGAGTATCCAATAACGCTTGAGAGATTTTAGAAGGTTAAGCCGACAAACATCCTTATACATTAAGCTAACTTACAACCAAACAACAAACTCAGGAATGAAGCAGTTAGTCTTCATGCCAAAATTGAACAATGTTTCGAGCGGTGAGTCTCTAAGACAAAACGATATTTTTTACAAAATTACCTCGAACAAAGTTGGAGTTTTGAATTGGCTATCGTCATAATTGAACCAAGATTTTACATAGGCTGACCACGACCTAAACCGAGATTTTACAACAAGGTGATCTTCAAACTGTTGAGCTTTTGTAGAGGGTTGAGCTCAAGAATTGTTGTAGAGATTTTTTTTAATAGTTATTCTTCACGAACCCCAAAGGAGATTTTTTCTTTAATGGAAGATGCTTACAAACCAAACAAAGACTTATACTAATCCTATAAATAGCTCTTATACAGGTTTAACTCCAAACAAAAATAAACATTGCCTAAGGAATAATGATTTACTCAAGAGGAAAAGGACAACTTGGTAAATTTATAATGAAACCCTCTCCCATGACAAATTCCTCACTAAATTCAAAACACTCTCAAAGAACTATGGCTTAAACATGTTAAAAAGTGGAAATGATTTAGAGAGTGTGATAACAAGAAATCGTATCATACTTTTAGGCTCATTGCGCGTATTA